GAGAGAGAGAGAGAGAGAGAGAGAGAGAGAGAGAGAGAGAGAGAGAGAGAGAGAGAGAGAATATGTGACTAACAGTCACCTGGATCCTGTAACTACTTCCAAGGTGAGACCACCCAGAGGAAAACTTCCCTGTGGCTCTGAAAAGGCTTATGGCTGCTCTATCTCCTGGAACACCTGGCTGCGTGGGGAAAGGATGAAGTCACTGGCAAGTTTCCTCCTCCTAAAACCCAGTCGGGCACATCTCTCTCCAGGGAGAAGCTGCTACGCAGGGCTGAGGGGTGACAATTACTTTTCTTAGGACATCAGCTGGTATGTGGGCAAAAGGCGATGAGAAGCAGTCTGCCCCCAGACACACCCCCAGATTTCTACTCAGCGTCTGAGCGTAGTCTCTGCTCACTATTTCCACCCCTTGTGTTGATGTGGGCACTAGGCAGGCTTGGGGAGTGCAGTGATGAAATCGATAAGATGGGGCCAATTCTGCCTCGTTCAGCACGGGCCAAAAGTCCCTTTAGGGTCCCCTCCTCATCTTTTCCCATCTTCTTCCCACTCACTGTCTCTCTGGCTTGACTCACTTCCCGCCTAGCCCAGAGGAAGGGGTTCTAATGTGGTGGGTGTGGGGTGGTTCTGGAAGCCTTTTTTTATGATTGGGGAAACATACTTTCCTGATCCTTCTGACTTTCCCTTTCCCCTAAGAATGTAACCTTGGGGGTTTGGCTGGAAATTCATGGAACCTTGAGAAATCATCTCACTTACTTCCCTGCCCCCACAGAGACCACCCATTCAGATGAAAATGTATTGACCTGTTTGTTGCTGGTTTTCTTTTTTTTTTTCCTCTTCTTTCTCTCTTCCTTCCTTTTTTCTTTCTTTCATCATCTTTTCTTTTTCTTTCTTTTATCCTCTTTTTCCTTCATCCTTCCCTTTCTTTCATCCTCCTCCTTTTTTCTCTCCTTTTTCTTTCTTTCTTTCATCTTCCTCCTTCTTCCTTTTCTTTCTTCATCCTCTTTTTTCTCCTTTCATTCTCCACTTTCTTTCTTTCATCCTCCTTCATCCCCCTCCCTCCCTCCCTCCCTCCCTCCCTTCCTTCCTTCCTTCCTTCCTTCCTTC